CCCTCATGTAGCTGCCCCCAATATACATTCCCCATTCCTGTCTAATAATGTGGTGGTTAGACTTCCCCTAGTGCTTTCACCCAAGGACTACAATAGTCCTTATCCAGAAGTAACTTAAAATTTATGGAATTATGATCACTCTTCCCAAAATGCTCCACCATTGAAACTTCAATCACCTGGCCAGGCTCATTCCCTGGCCATGGGAATCTGTTAAAGGCCAGTTGGTTGGAGTTCATGACCAGCATGTTTATGTGAAGATGAAAATAAGGATCACAAGATTCAGGAACCTTGGATGACAAGAGAAATTGAGAGCTTAGTCAAAAAGAAAAAGGAGGCACACATAAGGCTTAAGAACTAAAGAAAGACAGAGCCCTCAAAGAATATAAAGAAAGTAGGAAACAATTTAAAAAAGGACTTAGGAGGACTAAAAGGAGCAATGAAAAGTCCTTGGCAAACAGGATTGAGGAAAATCCCAAGGTGCTTGATACATATATTTGGAGCAAGAGGCTAGCTAAGCAAAGGGTAGATCCACTCAAGGACAAAAGAGGGAACTTATACGTGGAGCAGGAGGAAGTGGGTGTGTTCCTTAATGAATTCTTTGCATCCTCATTCACAAGGGAGAAGGACATGATAAATGGTGAGTCTTGGGAGGGGTATGTTGATATTCTGGGCCGTGTTCAAGATGAAAAAGGAGATGATGTTGCATGTTTTGAAAAGCGTGGAGGTACACAAGTCCCCAGGACCTGATGGTATCTATCCAAGAATACTGAGGGAGGCAAGGGAGGAAATTGCTGGGGCCTTGCATAAAATCTTTGAATCCACTTTAGTCACAGGCGAGGTCCTAGAGGACTGGAGAACCGTCAACATTGGTGCTTTCTTTAAGAAGAGCATAAGGATTAATCTGGGAAATTACAGGCCAGTGAGCCTTATATCAGTGATAGGGAAATTACTGGAGAAGATTCTTAGGGACAGAATTTACTCGCATTTGGAAAAAATGTGGACTTATTAGCATTAGGCAGCATGGCTTTGTGCAGGGGAGGTCATGTCTCACAAACTTGATTGAGTTTTGAGGAATTGATAATGATGATTGATGAGGGCAGGGCAGTGGATGTTTTCAATATGGACTATAGCAAGGCCTTTGACAAGGTCCCTCATAGCAGGCTGACACAAAAGGTGAAGTCAAATGGGATCCATGGTGAGCTGGTAAGATGGATATAGAACTGGCTTAGTTATAGAAGACAAAGAGTAGCAGTGGAAGGACATTTTTCAGATTGGAGATCTGTGACTAGTGGTGTTCTGCAGGAATCAGTGCTGGGACCCCTGTTGTTTGTAACAGATATAAATGATTCTGAGGAGAATATAAGTGGCCTGATTAGTAAGTTTGCAGATGACACAAAGATTGGGGGAGCTGTGGATAATGAGGAGGATTGCCTGAGGATACAAATGTGAGGTGATGCATTTTGGAAGATCTAATACAGGAGAGAAGCATACAGTATACGGCAAAACCCCTAGAAGCATCAACATATAGAGGGATCTAGGTGTACAGGTTCACAGTTCTCTGAAAATGGCAACACAAGTGGATAAGATGGTCAAGAAGGCGTATAGCATGCTTCATCAGTCGGGGTAAAGAGTATACAGAATTGTCCAGTCATGTTGCAGCTGTATAATGCTTTAATTAGGGGACATTGTGTACAGTTCTGGTCACCACACTGCCAGATGATGTGGAGAGTTTGGAGCAGGTACAGAAATGTTTTACCAGATGTTGCCTGGTTTAGAGGGTTTTAGCTATGACGAGAGATTGGACAAACTTTGTTTGCTTTCACTGGTAGACCAAGGGGCAACCTGATAGAAGTTTACAAAATTATGAGAGACATGGACAGAATGGATAGTTGGCATCTTTTTCTCAGGATAGAAATGTCAATTACAGGGAAACATACATTATAGTAAAAGGGGTAAGTTTAAAGGAGATGTGAGAGGCAAGGCTTTTTTTTACACAGAGGGTGGTGAGTGCCTGGAATGCTCTGCAAGATGAGGTGGTGGAGACGGATATAATAACAACATTTAACAGACATCTTTCCAGATATATAATAGGCAGGCAAGAGAGGGATATGTACCGCATGGAGGCAAAAGATTTTTGGTTTAGAAAGGCATCGTGTATTGGTGCAGTCTTGGTGGGCCGAAGGGCCTGTTCCTGTGCTGTACTGTTCTTTGTTCGTTCACCTTCGTTGAATAGCCAGAGCCCATGCATAGGTTCCTGTGATAGCCCACTTACTCTTTGTTTCGCAGTCTTGAATCCATGCCAGTAGATCACTGGCAATCCCATGTGCTTCGATTTTGCATGGTAATCTCTAGATTAGACTTCATCAAAAGATTGCTGAAAATACAAATGCACCACAACTACTGGTTCTGCCTCATCTACCCCTAATCTCACTAGCACAGGGCACTAAGATGATTCCGTTCAAGGTCGTACTTTGCAATCGATTTCACAGATTCCTATATTCTGCTTGCAAGGCTCCATCCATTGCCTCACCTTATATTGGCTGATAATCCTTTCTGACACTCCTTCAGCTACTCAGTGACATCCTAGACTCCGGGACCAGGGAGGCAGTGTACTACCTGGTGTTGCATCTACACCCTCAAAAACATCTGTCTGGTCACCTAACAATGCAATCCCCTATCACTGTTACTCTCCCGGTTCTTTTATTTTCCACATGAATTAAAGTGGGCTAGATTCAGGGAAGGTTCATTTACGGGGAAGGTCATGTCTCACCAACCTGACTGAATTTTATGAAGAGGTGACAAAGGTAATTAATGTGGGAAGGACTGTGAATGTAGTTTATTTGGACTTTAGTAAGGCATTTGATAAAGTCTCACATGGCAGATTGGTACAAAAACTAAAATCACATGGGATTCCGGGTGGGCTGGCTAGATGGATACAAAACTGGCTTGGTCATAGAAGACAGAGGGTAGCAGTGCAAGGTTGTTTGTCAGAATGGAGACTGGTACCTAGTGGTGTTCCACAGGGATCAGTCTTTGGTCCTCTGTTGTTTACAGTATATGTGAATGATCTGGAGGAAATGTGGGTGATCTGATTACTAAGTTTGCAGAAGACATGAAGATTGGTGGAGTTGCTGATAATGCCGACGATTGTGAAAGGATAAAATATACATTGGCGATTTGGGCACAGAAATGGCAGAAGGGGTTTAATCCAGGCAGATGGAGGATCATATTTAGGTGTGAATTATACTGTTAATGGCAGAATCCTTTGGAACATTAAAATACTGATGGAGCGGGGCAGGCAGGTCCACAGTTCACAGCTACACACGTAGCCAAGGTGATTAAGAAGGCATATGGCATGCTTGCCTTCTTCGGCTGGGGCATGGAGTACAAGAGTTGGTGAACCATGTTGCAGCTATGTAAAACCCTTGTTAGGCCGCTTTTGGAGTACTGCGTGCAGTTTTGGTTGCCACATTACCAGGAGGACGTGGAAGCTTTGGAGAGAGTGCAGAGAAGGTTCATCAGGATGTTGCCCGGTCTCAAGGGCTTTGGCTATGAGGAAAGGTTAAAAAGACGAGGGTTATTTTCGCTGGAAATACAGCAGCTGAGAGGAGACCTGACAGAGGGCTACAAAATTATTAGAGGCATAGATAGGGTGGATTACAAGGGGGTACAGGTTCAAGGTGACAGGGGTTAAGTTTAAGGGAGATGTGCGAGGGAAGTTTTCCACACAGAGAGTTTAGGAGCCTGGAATGCACTGCCAGAAGAGGTGGTGGAAGCAGGCACATTGGCAACATTTAAGAGGCATCTGGATGGTTATATGAATAGAGAGGGGAAGACAGGGATATGGACCGAATAAGGGAAGAAGGTTTGTTTTTTGGGTTAGTTAGAGCATGATGATCGGCACAGGCTTGGAGGGCTGAAGGGCCTGTTCCTACACTGTACTTTGCTTTTGTTCTCTTTTTTGTTCTCTAGATTGTGAAACAGCTGATGTAACTCCTTTATTTAGAAAGGGAGGAAGGGAAAAAGCAGGAATCAAGCTTAACTTCTGTCCAAGACATAATATTAAATTTTTTCGTACTTCTGTGATTCCTAACATTGAGACAAGACCTGTATTATAATACTGAAGCAATTCACGCTAGAATTTTAAGGGGTGGATAGTATCTTGTTACAGAATGATTAAAGGATGCACTGGGACATTTCTCCAAAACAAATAGTAGTTTCATTCAGAGATAGTAGGATTTCTGAAGAAGAGTTTAGACCCAAAACGTTAGCCTTCCTGCTCCTCTGATGCTGCTTGGCCTGCTGTGTTCATCCAGCTCTACACCTTGTTATCTCAGATTCTCCAGCATCTGCAGTTCCTGCTGTCTCTGCGCCAGATGGAGCTGTTCTGTTTCGCCTCACAGATATGGCCTTCGTCGCCTCTTGTCTCATCCCTCGTCCCTCGTCCTCATTGTCAGTCCTTCCACATAGTGGGCGGCCATCTTGCGTGACCTCACCACGCAGATCCCTTGCGCCTTTGCGCACCCGGTGCGGGCTGTGCGCCCCTGTGTCACTGATAGACACCTTTCAAATCCGCAGGGGATTGTGGGAATACCTGCTGCTCTTAGCTCCACCCGCTGCTTAAATTGGACCCGAACCTGAACAATTCATAATTCAGTGTAAGTTGATAACTCTGAATGTTAATAAATAGCTAAATGAGATCAATTCGACTGTATATTCAGGTAGATTAAGAAACATATGACATTTAGTATTTCATTACAAAAGATAATTAATCTTCAAATTCAAAAAAAAACTAATCATGTTTAAATTTCACAGTATTGCTGATAAATGGTTGTGATCACTTTTTAAGTAATGTCTAACATTGAGCATTAATAATAAATGCATTTTGTAAATTGATACGAATCTAAAATTACGTTTGTGAAATATTCACAGGGCCCAGTAGATGGCAATCAAGCTGTGACTCTGTGTGTGTGTGAGAGAGAGAGAGAGAGAGAGACCGGCCGACCGACCGACCGTTGCAGTCTTCACCAGAAGGAGATTGTGGTAAGTGACACTGCCTTGTGTTTTAACATATTTTACGAATTGTTCACTCAGCTAATTCCCAGCATTTGCAGATGAACTGTGTCGATGAAAAGAGAAACAGTTTTGTAACATACCTTGGAATATTGTTAGAAATTAAGTACGTTTGTTTAAAAATCTTACATTCAGTTATACAAGATATTAATGCAAAACTGTACAATAAACATGTTCAATTACGTAAATGACATTTTATTTCTATAAATTTCAAACTCATTGAAATAAACTAGCTGAATTTATTTGTTCATTTTAGTTTTGTTAAAGCTTGTGTTCATTTATGTAATTAACGTGTGTTCCACGGATTTGAAACTGCAACTTTGTGTCTAGGTCCAGGAGGTGGGTGGGAGTGGTGGAGTGATGGTGTCACAATGGAAATACCTTGGCTTCTGATTCTCACCTCCACCCTCAGTACTTTGCCTTCTGATCTGAGATGGAGATTTTGGAGTCATGTCTAGCTATCCATTCCTTAGTGACTTGCTTTTCTTTCACCTTTCTATCCCTTTCAAATTAATGGATGTGAGGGAGAAAAAAAGTTTAATGGAGATAACACAGTGTGGAGCTGGAGAAACACAGCAGGCCAGGCAGCATCAGAGGAGCAAGAAAGTTGATGTTTTGTGTCGGGACCCTTCTTCAGAAATGGGGAGGGGGAATGGAGCTCAGAACTAAATAGAGAGAGGAGGGGTGGGGCTGGGGAAGGTCGGTGGGATGGTGATAGATGAGCGTAGGTAGGGAGTGGTGAGGATTGGTCAGTGAGGTAGGAGGGGCGGATAGGTGGGAGAGAAGATGGACAGGTTGTGTCAGGTCAAGGAGGTGGGGATGAGAGGGAGGGTTGGTCATGGGATGAGACCGAGGGTGGGGAGATTTTGAAACTGGTAAATCTACGTTTAAGCCATTGGGCTGTAGGCTCCTGAGGCGGAATATGAGGTGCTGCTCCTCCAGTTTGTGGGTGTCATTCTGACATTGGAGGAGGCCCAGGATGGACATGTCATCCAGGGAGTGGGAGGGGGAGTTGAAGTGGTTCATGACTGGAAGGTGTTGTTGGTTGTCGTGAGCACAGGTGCTCTACAAAACGGTCTCCAAGCTTCCACTTGGTCTCACCGATTTGAAGGAGGCCACATCGGGAGCAGTGGATGCAATAGCCCACGTTGACGGATGTGCAGGTGAACCTCTGTCTAATGTGGAAGGTTTGTTTGGTACCTTGAATGGAGGTGAGGGGGGAGGTGTAGGGGCAGGTGTAGAACTTACTGCAGTTGCAGGGAAAGGTGCCAGGGGTGGTGGCACCAGTGGGGAGTGTAGAGCTGATGAGTGAGTCATGGAGAGAGCGGTCTGTATGAAAGGCAGATAGGAGTGGGTAGGGAAATATATCTTTGGTTGTGGGGTTGGCTTGTAGGTGGCGGATGTGGTGGAGAACAATACATTGGAATTGGAGGTTGGTGAGGTGATATTAGATGACAACGGGATTCTGTCTATGTTTTTGTTGAGGGGAGGGGATGTGAGGGCAGAGGCGCGGGAAATGCAAGAGATGCGGTTAAGAGCATTTTTGACGACCAAAGGGGGAATGTTGTTGCCCTTGAAATAGGAGGACATCTGGGGTGTGCGGGAGTGGAATGCCCCATCTTGGGAGCCGACACGGCAGAGGCAGAGGAACTGGGAGTAGGGGGTCACATTCTTGCAGGAACGTGGGTGAGAGGAGGTGTAGGTAGATGTGGGAGTCGTGGGCTTGAAATAGATGTCAGTTTTGAGGCGGTCACCAGAGATAGAGATGGAGAGGCCCAGGAAGGAGAGGGAGGTATCGGAGATGATCCAGGTGAATTTGAGATTGGGGTGAAAGTTGTTAGTAAAGATGAACTGTTCAAGCTCCTTGTGGGAGCACAAGGCAGTGTCAATACAGTCATCAATATAGCAGAGGAAGAGCTGGGGGATAATGCCAGTGTAGCAATGGAAGAGGGACTGTTCCACGTATCCTATGAAGAGACAGGCACAGTTGGGCCCATGTGGGTTCCCATGGCCATCCCCTTCATCTGTAGGAAGTGGGAGGAGTTAAAGGAGAAGGTGTTAAGGGTAAGGAGGAGTTTGGTTAAGCGGATGAGGGTGTCAGTGGAGGGGGACTGGTCGGGCCTGCGGGAGAGGAAGAAGTGGCCATCTGCATGGGGGATACAAAGTGTACAGGGATTGGATGTCCATAGTGAAGATGAGGTGTTGGGGGCCAGAGAATTGGAAGTCTTGGAGGAGGTGGAGGGCATGGGTGGTGTCCCGGACATAGGTGGGGAGTTCCTGGATCGGGGGAAGAAAATAAATTTAAGGTACATGGAGGTAGGTTCAGTGGGACAGGAGCAGGCAGAGACAGTGGGTTGGCTGGGGCAATCAGGTTTGTGGATTTTGGGAAGGAGATAGAAATGGGCGGTGTGGGGTTGGGGAACGATGCGGTTGGATACTGTGGGTGGGAGGTCACCTGAGGTGATGATATTGTGAATGGTTTGAGAGATGATGTTTTGTGGTCAGGGGTGGGGTCATGATCGAGGGGGTGTCGGAGAGTTGGCACCTGGCCTCGGCTATTTAAAGGCCAGTGCACCATACCTCAACTACTCCTCCCTTATCCGCGGGTTTGATGGTGAGGTTAGGTTTGTAGCAGAGAGGTGCTCGTTCCATGGGGGAGAGGTTGGAGTGAGTGAGAGGTTGAGGCGATCGATGTCGCAACGGAAGTTGGAAATGAAGAGGTCGAGAGAGGGTAGGAGGCCTTAGGGTGGTGTCCAGGAGGATAGGGTGTGTTGGAGGCGGGAGAAGGGGCTCTGTAGAGGGTGGGTTAGACTCACGGTTAAAGAAATAGGCATGGAGGCGGAGGTGACGGAAAAACTGTTTGACGTCTAAGTGTGAACAGTATTCGTTAATGTGTGGGCGTAGGGGGATGAAGGTGAGTCCTTTACTGAGGACTGACAGTGAGGGGGAGGTCTGGGAGGATGGTGAAGACCCGGCAGGGTTTGGGACTGATGTGGGGCTGGTGGCTGGGTTGGAGCCGGGTGTGGGGGCAGAGTTAGTGACGTCGTCAGCAGCGTTGGCGGTGGGTGGGGCGATGTCGGCGTCAGTGACGCTTATAATCATCAGCCATTACTGCTGCCTGTTGCACCCCTTCAGGTCTCAGAAAGAGTTCTTATTATGGAAGTTAGTGAGTTTTTACATTCTTCTGTTGGCATTGCCCATGGCTGAAAGCAACAAAAGATGGCTGAAAGTAGTTTTCAGTTAACTTACAGTAGCTTCTTTGGTATAGTTTGTTTTGAAGTAAATCATAAATTAGAGCAATAGTGACTCTGTAGACAGAATAAATCCAAGGTAACAGATTAAGATAATGCACATGGGCAGACACACATGAAAGAACAACTAGATAATAGCAACCTGAATGCTGATAGAAGAATTTTATACTTGATTAATTTAAAGTCTGAGATCTGTCACAAATTGTAGAAAAGGTTTATTTCTTTAGTTAAGATTTCCAAATAACCATTGTTATAGATTTTGAACATTATATAAATCCATAATAAGCATTAAAGAGATTCCATTAAAAGTCCTATAAAGATGAACCTTAAGAAAACCCGTTTACAGCGTAGAAGGAGTTATAATTGCAGCTTCAAGATAGAGAGACTTTGTTTATTTGACCTTCCAAGGTCGAATGAGATGGAAGCTGTTTCCATTGTAACATTAAGTGTAACAATGTAACTTTATATATAACTCATTTTACTTTGGAACTAACATTGCAAATTTTATAATTGGTAGAAATTAGCATTTTTTGTATCTCCTGTAATAAGGTGAGTAGGGAATCTAAATTTAATGACAGAATTTGAGATGTCCTGAGTGATGAGCAAGTGGCCAATTTATTGGCAAGAATCTGTCATCAATAACTGATCTCTAGTACACAGACCAGTCAGCTACTTGCTGCCAGCCAAAGATCCATTCATACACAGTCCCCAGGCCTCTGGCTCATCTGCAAGTAGACCTCCAACTGTTTGGACAAGCAGTTGTGTAAACAGCACTTACAATGAGTACTAGTTGCTTGCTTTTTAAAAGTGCAATAATCCTTGAACAAGCCTTGCCTTCACAAACAGTTATTTTGCTCATTTCAGTCTACAATCAAACATACAAAGAAGTAAAAAGCCCATAAAACTACAAGACCATGAAATATAAATGTAGAGTTAGGCCATTCAGCCCATCAGGTCTGCTTTGCCATTCAATCATGGCTGATATGTTTCTCAACCCCATTCTCCTGCCTTCTCCCTGTAATCCTTGATCCCCTTACTAATCAAGAACCTATCTATCTCTGTCTTAAATGCACTCAATAACTTGGCCTCCACAGCACTCTGCGGCAATTAGTTCCACAGATTCACCACTCTCCGGCTGAAGAAATTCCTCCTCATCTCAGTTCTAACAGGTCATCCCTTCACTCTGAAGCTGTATCCTCAGGTCCTAGTCTCTCTGACTAGTGAAAACATCGTCTCCACATCAACTCTATCCAGGCCTGTCAGTATTCTGTAAGTTTCAATCAGATCTCCCTTCATCCTTCTAAACTCCTTTGAGTACAGACACAGAGTCCTCAATTGCTCCCCATATGACAAGCCCTTCATCCCTGAGATCATTTTTGTAAACCTCCTCTGGGCCCCCTTCAATGCCAGCACATCTTTCCTTCGATATGGGGCCCAAAACTGCTCGCAATATTCCAACATAAGCTTTATACAGCCTCATCAGTATATCTCTGCTGTTGTGTTCTACGCTTCATGAAATGAAATCTAACATTGCATTTGCCTTCCTAACTGCCAACTGAACCTGCATGTTAATAGTGTGGAGCTGGAGGAACACAGCAGGTCAGGCAGCATGAGAGGCACAGGAAAGTCGATGTTTTGGCTTTACACCCTTCATCAGTATGAGTATAAGCCCAAAACATCAACTTTCCTGCTCCTCTGATGCTGCCTGACTTGCTGTGT